CTGATCCATACACACAATGCAGACAGCACCGATGTCTCCTCCTAAATGAAAGGATATTCTGATTGATCTCAATTTCACATAATTTCAATTCAAAGACAAGTTAAATGCAACTTTGAGGGTAACCAGTTTTATTCTTTACAAGCTGCATTAATGCCACGGTTGTCTAGGCAGCATTAGAAAGCACAGAGCACATTCAGCAAAGACTCTATGTGTCCGCATTGTCTTTATTATGTGGAATTTCCTGCAGGTGCAAAGCTAAATATCTTTTACAGTTTGGAAGCGGACATAAGGCAGTCAATGAGATGTGTCCCATTAAAAGCATGGAAAATAAGTACGCATATTTAGCAGAACGCTGCCCATCGCTCCTCCAACTGCACTCTCACTCCCATCCTCCATGCTCCTTTTCCTTCTCTTCCCCCTCTCGTCCCTCTTGCTTTCTTTATGGCAGCAATTGTTCCCTTTCATCACATCATTGGTTGAAAGAGAACTTTAACACGCCGTTGACTCAGCAAGAGCCCCCCTCCCTCACTCCCATCGGTCCCTTTGGGCTGTAAAACAACAGTCTGGAAGCTTATTTTATGAGTGCACGCCTCTGCTCTTTGCATGTTTATGTCAAACATTTGGAACAAATGGCGTCCATTGGCTGGAACAACACAGATAAATCTAGTCAATTCACAAGCAAGGAGAAAAGCTGCAGGCCACTGAGAAAGTGGCCCACTTGATGGCTGACAAGAGGAGTGCTTGCATTATTCAATTAATACCTGAAAGGGGTACATTTTATGCAGCATTTACTAAAGCATCCACCAGTCCATGTGTGCTTGGCCCACACAAATACATAAACACACACACACACCCCCACACAAACACAGGGGCTTGTGTTTGCATCCTGGGAAAAGACTGGACTCCCCTTCCATTTTGCCAAATCAAATATACAGTGAGAGCAAGCTAAAAGGCACTTTCAATCAGCCGCTCTGGGTCTGTCCGTCAATCTGGGAACAACAACAATCTAGCCTACTTGGAGTGGTCTAGTCAACATCCATTCCACAATAAATTCAATCAGTGATGCTTTGTGTGTGTGTGCGTGTGTGTGTTTGAACGAGTTGTGCACGTCTGAGTACACGTGTCCACGAGAAAAGCAGATTGAAAGACGGAGACTCTTTGTGACAGCGTTGTTTTAAAACAAAAGATTATTAAAAGTGACACCTGCATGTTTGGAGAATGTTGAATATTCAAGTATAAAGATATTCGCACACACACGCACCGAAGTCCAAACATAAAGGAAATGCAAAAGTGATTACATTATACTATGAGCATAATCCTAGTCTTCTTTCAAAGTGATAAGAGGAATCTCTAGTTCACCAAATAATCTCGGAACCAAGTAGCAGAGTTAACAGGCCTGAGCTAATGACATTGATGTGGAGGGATGTTCGCTGGAGTGATTGTCTGACTGTTTGAGACCCGAAAGCAGCGCAAGCAGCCTCATCATGGTCCCGCACTCTCATTATTTGGCCACAAATGGAAATGCAAATTGCTCGCTTTGCTGCGGACGCTTCAAATTTATTAAACTAAAAGGTTTAATTTCCATTTTTCTCTGCATCAGCTTTATTTATAAATGTCGTGCCCTATGAAGACCCTGTTATTTTCTCCCTCTCCTGCAGGCTCTTAACAAATCTGCTCATTAATATGGAAATGGAGAATCAATCGCTTTTCCGGCGACAGAGGGCTGTTTCCCCCCGCGGTGTGTAATGTGCTCTGACTGGTCATCAGCACAAACAAATTCACATGCATAAACCCACATTACATAGAAAGCCATAATATTCCCACTTACTTACATACAGTATCTATTTATATCTCCATCAATGCATTAACATAAAAATAATGTGTGCTGCTTTTTGTTTCACTATGCGCTGGTAATGCTCGTCGTAATATTGCCAGAATGGCACCAGATGTTGCAGCATTAATAACCCATAATATCAAGTCCTGCTTATCCAACCTTTCAGAGCCCTAAAATAACACTCATAGACCTTAATGAGATCTAATTATGCACAAGGTTCTTATTCAGGGCAATATGATGATAATTGCATCTGTAGCTTTTAACACTTGGTTGTCATGTTGGCCAGTAAATTGCTTCTCTTCTCCCTCTCCTTCTGTCCGTCTGTCTTTCTGCATCGCTCTCTCATTCTCTATCCACTCTCTTTTTTTCTGTCTTTCCATACAGTCAACAGTGGGGAGTGAACTATCACACCTATCCACTCTTGTCTGCAACCTAATGAACATTACTAAATGGCCATGACCAGCTGGTTAAGAGACTAATGCAGCAGCTATTAGCCAAAGCGGTTGTTTCCACACAGAGTCAACTGAGGGAAGCAGCAGTGAAGAGTCAGGAGAGAGCGGACAAGGGCAGACAGGTCCTCGTTTTAACACTATTAACACACACACACACATACATACAGTACATATATACACACACAGCCTGGAACAGCATGTTTATCTTTCACATTCTGCAGCAAACAAACCATGTGACGTATTCTTAACCCACAGTGCATTAGTGCTTATTAGGGCCTCAAGGTGTGTGAGTGTCTTATTAGGAAAATTCAGTTTCACTCAAGGTCTCAGCACTGCGGTTGCAGACCACTGGCCATTGATTATTCATAGAGTCTGTGATTGGGTCCATTAATACAAGATTAGGGAGGGAACCGATGCTCATTTTGTGCATGTGTGTGTGTGTGTGTGTGTGTGTGTGTGTGTGTGTGTGTGTGTGTGTGTGTGTGTGTGAGAATGTTTATATGGAGAGGAGTGAGTTGAATTGCAATGAATTCACAGTTTGTTTGGTTCATCAATGTGGCACAGTATATAGGTACAGTATATAAACCAAAATGTATAAAGTATCTGTGTATGAAGGTGCATAATTACTTATTAACAGAGGCAGATGAGTTTCAATTAATGGTATCAGGTGTTAGGCTACGACAAAACCAAAGCAGCATGGTGCCTTTGTTTAAATATGAGCAAAAGGATCGGAACAATAAAAGGGAATATCTTTAGCTCCATCATTTGGCACATACTGTAAGATTTCCACCTAATAGCATTTGTTCTTCAATTGAAACTTAATCTGGGTAAATGGTGCTTAAATGTTTAAATCACATTTACAGGCTGTCAACTGATGTGATGTTCTTCACATGGTCACCCTTCGTTTGAATGAAAATAAATTGACGGCAAATGAGAAAGGATTCTGCAAAACGGGCTGAGGAGACCTATTGGACCGTAGCTCCCCCAAGTGGCCACTTTGGGCAACTGAGAGACGCTTTAAGTGGAAATTTGGAAAAGCACATTCACCAAAGGAGCTCTGATACTTCTCATAGGGAAAAGTGAAATGATTTCCAGTAAATTGTCTGGGACTGCCACTGAGAAAGAGGTCACCGTTTAGTTTAGTTTATTTGAGGATGCCCCATTAGAAGCACATGGGTATACCTAGGGTCTTGAACATAGAAATACAATAGAGACACACAATATACACATCATGAAATAGGCAATCTGTGGTTCACCTCTCCAGCTCTATTTTCACAGGCATAAGCATCATCATTAACATAATCATCATAATCAAGAAGAGAGTTACTCTTTTAGTTTCAACTGTGTTTTTATGTTATAAAAAATGTATTTGTACAAATAAATAATATTCACATGCTGACAGGATAAAGTAATATTTGAGGAAATTGCATATTTATATTTTAATTTTTCGCTTTACAAGGCTAGAATACCAACACTGAGAGTTTATCTTTGGTTGATTTGCATAACAGTATTTCAGAATTTGCAACATTAAAGTAGAATATTAAACTCAAACAGAGAAGTAAAGGCCAGGCATTAGTTTGTTGTGTCCGTGGCCATACAATGAAACTGCCATGTACTGCTGTGTGCACTGTATTGATGGAAATATAGAGGCATGATTGCTACACACAATTCACAGAAGGTGGAGGAATATGAAGGACAACAAAATGGTATAAGAACAAACAAATAAATGCAGAAATCTAGAAATGAAATAAACAAATTTATATGAAAATATAATTAACAAGACAGAATTAAAGAGATCGTCCTTGTGCTCAAACTATTTATGTATTAAACTCATATTTCATGTATTGATTTGTACTTGTCATTTATTGTCCTTCAAAGCCCACTAACGTGAACAAGATTTCTATCACTGCAACATAATCAGTGTATCGATGATGAAAATTACAAAAAATGAATGAACAAAAGGTATAAATACAAAAAATAGAGAAATAAAAAAATTAGACAAATACAGAAATTTGATTATTTCTCACATTCAGTGAGGAACAGATTGTTATAGTCAGACTTTTGTCTCCAGCCACTACTGTAACTCATTATTTGCAGGACTGCCCCAGAGTTTCCAGCTTGCTCAAAATACGGCAGCTGGAGTTCTTACAAAAACTCTGAAGTATGAACACATCACCCCCATTCTCACCTAATTGTACTGGCTAGGAATTTATTTCAACATTTTATTGGTAGTTTTCAAATCTCTTAGCGGCATTACCCCCTCTTACATCACTGACCTAATCCCGTACATACCTGCTCGTAATCTCAGATCTACAGGTCTGTTGCTCTTGGTTCCCAGGGTGAGGCGTGATTTTATTCATAAAATGGCTGTAACCAGGATTGTGTTTGTATATGCAATTTTTGTTTGTGAAGCACTTTGTAACCTTGTTTTTGAAAAGTGCTGAATAAATAAAGTTGTATTATTGTTAAATAACCTTTTTGACTATCTAACTGTTTCTATTTGTGTGTATGTGCTCATTTATTTGTGCTCATGTCATTTTTGTCCTCCATAAGAGATGGAGGTGGAGGTCTACAGGGGTCCAACATCTAAATTTGACTCCACAGCATTCTTATATCTAAACCTGTGCTGAGCGAGTATTTCTCATCGCCATGTGTTTTGAGTATCGATGAATTATAGATAAATAAAAAATCACATCCGTAGTTTGCGTACCTGTCGTGACGTCATGCTGTCCGCGGTGCTGAAGCGGTGACGTCGCGGGCGCCGCTCGTCACGCATCCTCTCCTCTTCTGCCATTTTTCCTGCTGCTGGCTAATTTGCTAACCGAGGGGGTCTCCATCAGCCGGAGGCGGGGGAAGACTGCGAGGCAGCAGAGAGAGAGGCAGTCACCGTACAGACCCGAACCTTCCCTGGAGAACCGGGGGGCTCTTCCTCACAGTGAACCGTTTCCAGAGAGGCGACACCATGTCTGATTTTGACAGCAACCCGTTCGCAGACCCGGACTTCAGCAACCCCTTTCAGGTAGCTAACCTAGCTTACTAGCCGGCTAACGTGCGCTTGGAAACCCATTGAGGCCGGTTAGCATCCCCGCTAAGTATCTTAGCTACAAGCTCGACTGCTAGCTAGCGGCTTCCTAGCAGACCGAGCTAGTCACACTCCACGTTATTTATCTCATCGCTCACACATACTAGGACTGCCGGGTTTGAAAAGGAGGCTACGACTGACTCTCCAGCACACGGAGGCGCTTTGTTTTCCAGGTTGTGTTAACGAATATTGAACTACAGACACATGGTGTTAGCTAGCTAGCGTTTAGCACCCGACAGGTACACTGTGTGCCTACAGCTGTCAGTAAACATCTCTGGGACGCAGGAGGTTTAAACGTCTTATAGTTGAAGAGCTGTTTCAACATTGGTTCACTTTGCAGTGGTTCATCGCACTGGGCTCGAACACACTGAAGCCGCCCGGCTCATCGTTGTTTAGACACAGAGGTAGCTAAGATCATATGTTTGTTTCCCTTCTAGCATCTCAGCCAGTGTTAGCAACACGCTGTTTATTTGTGCTACTAGAGTCAGTTCCGTGTTTCACATGATGCACCGAGGTGTTTATTCTCCTTTGTGAGCTGTCTTACCTTCTACCTCTCGCTGCCTTCAGTGTGGCAGACTTCCGACCAGCTGATCACAGGTGAATCAGCTGGTCAGCCCCGCCCCTCAATTTAAAGGTGTTCTTATATGTGGGTGGAGCTAAAATGCGGAGTTTGGGTTCTTCATGTCACGTGGTGGGCCGCCTCAAATTCAAAACATGAGACTAACACACGAATCCAGATCTTCTGATATGTTTGCTGATCACTTTACTTGCCAGTGATGTTTTGAGCACAAGACTTCTTACGCCATGTTCACACTGCAAGCCCTGGTGCTCAATGAAGATTTTTTTCCTAGATCTGATTTTTTATGTAGCTGACTTGCATGCACCCAAGTACAAGTAGATCCCACACCCAGCACGCTGTGTACTGGAGTTACCAAGGAGAAGAAGATGGTAATAAACATTGAGGCCATAGAGGTATTCAGTCGGGGGGGCAATGAGGTTTTAGGGGTGAAACTTCTGTACAAGCAAAACTTGAGGGGTCATATCTGTGTATGAAAGCATATCAAGAGAAAAATTACACCGCAAACACTCACATCTGTGGCCTCCATGTTTATTACAGCAATAATGTAAAACATTGAGCTAAAAAGTAAGCTTTTGATTTTGAAGCTGTAGTCCTGACCTCCCTGAAACCTTCTGTCCCGTAGGATCCCTCTGTGACGCAGGTGACCCGGTCTGCCCCTCCTGGTGGTCTGGAGGAATATAACCCCTTCACAGACGGCAGAACGGTCAGCTTCTGTAGCATCACTATTGATGAGAGGGTGCCTGCATGTGCTTCTGTGCTTCTGAGACAATAACCTCATTATGGTTTCCCACAACCCTTTTGCTCTCTTCCTCCACCTCTCAATCACAGAGGATTTCACTGACAAAATATGACTGTGGCCTTATTACAGTTTTGATTCAGTGTCTGTTTTTTGATTACGCAAATATTAACATAGCAGGTCTTTGCTGGTTTACAGGCAGCCCCTGGAAATGCCCCCAAGTCTACTCCTGCCCCTGCCCAGAACACACAACCTGCCATCATGAAGCCCACAGAAGAGCCTCCAGCTTATTCACAGCAACAGACTCAGGTACTACTCACAGAAACAGGATCATAAACATGGAAATGCATCTATTTTACTTTTTCTCTCTCAGGCTAGTTTAACTTCATATGCTCTCAGCAGTTTGATTCACTACATTATAACATTATACAGACTCTGCTTCACCTTTTATTTCACCTTTCCTTTATATAATCATCTATTCTCTGATGGCCCAGCAGAGGCGTAATGAGGTACTGTCTGTCATCTGATGTCTCCTGCACCCCTTCATGTCACTGTCTTGAATAGTGTGAATCCATTTGAAGCTTTTCCCCACCTGTAGCTTTCCCTTTGCAGTACAATTTTAGAGCCAGTTTCTTACTAACTGAAGAAGACAAGTGAGTTGACAGCAGGAGCTGATTGCGTTTCCAACCCTAACCCCCCTCTTTTCCTCCTCAAACTAACACGCCCAAGCTTACCTGAGTGGAAAATATCTTTCATTACTCACCTTATTGGATATCATAACTCCTGTCAGATGCTGCACAGTGAATTTCAAGTGCATTTCTGTGTCTTTGTTAGGACCAAGCACGTGCTCAGGCTGAGCTGTTGAGAAGGCAGGAGGAGTTAGAGAAGAAAGCAGCGGAGCTTGATCGTCGCGAGAAGGAGTTGCAGTCCCACGGAGCCGCGGGAGGTCAGTCAGTCAGACCTTCAATCAGCCACTTCATGCACGCACTCACCTCACATTAACCTTCCGAGAATGAGTGGTCATTACCAGTTAAACCAAGACTAATGACAGTGTTGACAAGACTCAAAGGTACATGTGTTGCTGTGGAACATTTTTGGCACAGTATTCAGTTTGTGATGTAAGTGATTTAAGTGTCAGGCCAGATATATGCGTCATAGTTTATTTACTAAAGATGTTAACTTCTGGCACAATTATTCAAAACACTGTTTCCTTTGTCCTTACAGGGCGTAAGAACAACTGGCCTCCACTGCCAGAGAAGTTCCCCGTTGGCCCATGTTTCTACCATGATATTGCTGTGGACATTCCTGTAGAGTTCCAGAAGACAGTCAAGATCATGTACAACCTTTGGATCTGTAAGTGGATCATTATGGAGATTCTGTTTCTATCTTTATCCCTTCTCCTCACTCTCAGGTTGCTTCTCAAACTGAAGCACAAGGCATTGGTGCAGACGCAGCTCATCTGAGGGCAGATAAACAGTTTCAAATGGGAGCAGAGCTAATTTGCAGACAAGCTGGAGCTATTTGAGTGAAAGGGCAGGGTTTTGAATCTGAATGGGAAATGAAGAAATAACACTCTCAAAATGAAAGACCACACCCATGAATAAAGATAAGAAATAAATTCTATAAAAGCATCTGTCACATCCATAAATGAAGAGAATTACCTCCTATTCCAATGTAATATAATCATTGCCATTTGTTTTAGTTCTATTACACACATCTGAACTTTGATTGTAAAACTTAAACCCATGTATGATAAAACAGTTGTTCATGTTGTTGTTTTTCTTCCAGTTCATGCAGGCACGCTCTTTGTGAACATGTTCGGCTGCCTGGCCTGGTTCTGTGTGGATGCATCTCGTGGTGTAGATTTTGGCCTGGCGATGCTATGGTTTCTGCTGTTCACCCCCTGTTCTTTCGTCTGCTGGTACAGACCGCTTTACGGGGCTTTCAGGTAGGCAAATGGACAATTACACTGCTTTGTGCAACAGTAGAAAAAAACACACACGACTCTGTAGACAAACGTGTTGCAAAAGCTTAGCCTGGTATCACCAAACAAATTAAAACAGGTCTGGATCCTGGCAGTTTCGTCCTGTTTTACACAGGGCGTTAGTAACGGTTAAAGACCAAAAGGCCTGTGGACACAATTCATCTCAATAAATGCAGTAAATTCAGTTGTATTTTTCTTCTTTTAGAGAAAATTGACTGTCCACGTAGTTTATTATGATTGCATCATGATAGCAGAACAGCAGCAGCAGCAGCATCTCTGTAATATTAAACCCCAGTTTAGATAAATGGTTGTGATTGGTCCTAAAGGTTTCTGGACTTGTGGAAATAAGTCTGAACAGAAGGGGGGGCCAGACACATAGGAAACATGAATACAAAGAAATGAACATAAGCTCACTGATTGGTCTGGCTTCAGGCTTGCTGGGTCTAGGTATGAAACTGTTAAAAAAAGAGTGGGCAGTGGACTTTGAAAACGCAGTGACTGCTTGAAGTTATGATCGTCATTATCCTCTTAATCTCTAACTCCACACCAGTAAACACCGGATAATTGTTGTCTGAACGGGATGATAGTGTAATGTAAAGTCATGGATAAAGATTTTCATAGGTTGAGGACAGTACGGTGGAACTGATTTTTAATGGAGTATGAATTAGTGACTCTCACTACTTTGTTTTCTATCTCCACCACAGGAGTGACAGTTCATTCCGCTTCTTTGTCTTCTTCTTCGTCTACATCTGTCAGTTTGGAGTTCACGTTCTACAAACTATCGGCATCACCGGCTGGGGAACATGGTCAGTGTTTGGTCTGGGCTTTTACTCATTCTGTATTTCTGTTGAGCGTGTGCTGAAGTTACTTCACATTTGTTTGTTTTGTTTTTTTCCAGTGGCTGGATTACAGCTTTAACTGGTCTGAACACCAGCATCCCAGTGGGCATCATCATGTTACTGATCGCGGCTCTGTTCACTGCACTGTCTGTGGGCTCGCTCATCATGTTTAAAAAGGTAACACGATCACACATCACTCCAACATGTCAGCACACTTGTTTTGTGGGACAAAGCTGATACAGATATTAACAAGTAAACAATTCTATCCTATATATTGGCCAACATATATTTTGGGGATTTCTAAGATGTCGATATCAAACCCTTGTGACAATGGAATGTATTGGAGGCA